ACCATTAAAGTTATAATTTTAAAAAATATTACAAATGATTCCGATGGTCCAAAATACGCTACCGAAACACCCAAAACGGTAGTTACGCATCCCTGTAAGACAGGATATCCAGCAGCGTATAAGCAATTTCGGATTTTCTCATTTGGTGTTTTCTTTTTATAATTCATAAACGCGTAAGTCGTATGTACTGTATAATCTACGCAAAATCCCGCACACATCACTAACATTACTATTGAAGGTGGATTCACAGTAACATTCCATAAAGACATGTATCCAATCAAGCCAACCTGAATAGAAACAATAGTCATGACGACAGAAACAAGAAACAATATGCTCGGTGTAAATAAAAGAAAAACGATAATTACTGTACCCCCTGCAGCACTAATCGATTTTACGCAGTTTGAAAAAATATTAACATAGACGTCATAATACATAAATCTAAAATTATATACAATTACAGGTATTTTGCTGTTATCGGCAATTTTCCTTACATTTTCAAGAAACGATCTCTTATCAATTCCACTTCTTAGATCACAACTAGATATTATAACTCTCGAAGCAGTAATTTTATCGCCTTCTTTATTAAAAATGACATCGTTTTTAAACCTGCCTGCAACGTTTACTTTCAAGAAAACATTTTTAAATGCACTCAAAAAGTCATCAGACTCACTCAGATTGTAAGCAGAAAGCGAAAACTTTGCAAAGGGAGATTTAGTAAATGCCAGAAATTCTCTCAGCCAACTTTCTGTGGTCGACGAATCGGATGTAAATGGAGCAGATTCGAAACTTTGCAGAAGATCCTCTATGTCATTTTGGACATTGACATTCGAATAGTCTAATGACTCGTTAATAATTATTTGAACTTGATGACTATAATTAGAAAAATAGTTATTTTCAACATTCACATATTCAAACAGATATGAAGAGTATGGAAAGTATATAACTACATCATTTTCTTCTTGAGTGAATTGCATACAATATATTGCACCTATAAGATAAACCATAAACAAAATAATTACGATGGATTTAACGATTGGTTTACCTAGCATTTTGCCGAGAACATTGCCGAAAAATTCCAAAAAGATATTTTCTTCTTTTTTGTTTGTCAACTTGAATTGTTTTTTCTTCTCAATTCCCTGATAATTTCGTTTAATTGGACAGCAGATGACAGAATGCAGATCACACTTTTCTCTGTATCCATCCAAAGCCATAAGGCCACCAAAAAACAATAACTGATAAATGTAGTCAAACAAGATTGCAAGAGCCGCATACGCGCTGAATATATGAATCACTTTGTAAGGTGTCACAAACCCCGTACAAAAGGCAAGAAAATTGGTCAGAGACGTAATAGTGATAGAGACAGCAGCTTCGGCATATGCTTCTTTCATTCTATCTGGAACAGAAGCGTCAACGTCAGTTCTCCTCCACGCAGCTATCAATATAAAGGCATCGTCTACTCCAATTCCTGAAATATGCATCCAGAATTAATTATATGTTTTAATGATGTTACTGTAATATATATAAAATTACAAAATTATATTTATGAACGGTAACGTTCTACTGGACACTGTTTACATAACAGTATACAGTCGACCCCCCTATAAGATCATAGATACGTTTCATTTTTTAGGAATCCGATTTCTTACGAGTTATTCTAATCACAGCCCGACTCGTGTCATGTTTACGGACTACGGCTGTTTGAAAGGTTTTCTTCAATAAAATTAATCAATTCTAGACTAATCCGACTCAACATTTCCAAAATACGTATATATTTTTTGGAAATAATCCGTATAAACTACGCTATAAACAAAAAATTGTAGGATTACTTACCGAGTGTGCAGCTTTCGACAACCCCATTGCTAAAGCTTGTTTTCGTTGCGAAGCAGCACACCAAACCACGGCCGATTTCTGATAACTTATTTTTCTGTAAAACTTCGTTGAACTTCGGAGACATCATTAATATAAATAATTTTAATCGCCGTTGAATAAGAAATGTTTCTTTCACAAGAAATGTATAAAATTACAGTACTGTATTAGACTTACGGTACCTAATTTACGTACTGCACAGACGATAGTTAGCGTAAAATTTCCGTAGCGTGGCGCTACGGACGGTGGGAAAGTAGTTCGGCTGCCCGATGACATTTTGCATAATTATAGGAGTTTTTTATTATTTTTACAGATACCGTCACAATTTTTTCGCAGTTTTATAGGAATCGTAATTATAGGGACCGTAATTATAGGGGGGTCGACTGTATTTATTTGTTTTGAGAAGCAAATATCTCGTTATTGAGATGCCGTGTGGCGTATACGACAAAGTTTTTTCAGAACAATATCACACAGATTGCTGTTTTAGCTACGAAACAATCGTATTTATTTCTCATTTATTCGCTGTAGTTCAGTAAAGCTCAGGACATCAAACGTAAACTAGTGAGTCACTAACAAAGATTTTTTTCATCAACAATTTTTCGAACGTGTCTATACGACACATTGAATCTTTGTATAATCATTTTTACATTGCCGTGTATGATTTGTTTTTATATTAGCCAATTATTTTTACTTACGTTGATTTCGTCATTAAGCTTGCAATATTTTCTTTAGTTTTACTTCAGTAGACAGTGCGTTGAAAGAGGAAACCGAATTCATGCAGTTTAAAAAGCTTTGTGTGCATTGAAATGGTCACACCATTAGAGGTTTTGATTATAACATTAAAGGCTGTAAACAGTTGCATTTGGCAAGAATCAATATTAGTAAATCAAAGTATATCAGTGCGTATAAGCTAATATTCACCTGTGTCTTTTGGCGAATAAAAATTGCTTGAGAGCATAAAATATCTAAATATCTATATGTATAAAAATGAATGTATGTGTGTGTGTGTGTGTGTGTGTGTCTGTCCTTTATGCATTACCACAGCGTTTATCCGATTGCCGTGAAACTTTGGGAAGTTGTTTAATATACTCCGGCGAAGGTTTGTGGCATAGTACGATTGCCATGAAACTTTGGAAAGTTTTTTAAATTTTTTAATACACTCCCGCGAAGTACATTTATCCTATTATAGATGGCGCGCGTTTACACGAGCATTCGCGCACAGCGTGTACGATCGATTTCAAATTGTGAAGACCATTTCCCCCTTCAAAAAATATCTCTATATATGCATTTGTAAACTGTTATTTACGATATTTATAATAATTTTTGTTTAATCACTTTATTTCTAGTTCTTTTGCTAATTACGTATTCGCTCGAACTTCGTTAAAATCTTAACTGTACCCCGAACAACAACCGAAGTTGTAGGAGGAAATTCGCCCATTTTACTGATCTATTTTACAAATTTTAATATCAACTCAAAATAATTTAAAAAGACAAATTACAAGAAAACAGTTTACTATACAACTATCAGAAATTTCATAACGCGCCAAAGAAGAGAGGAAGGAGCAATTAAATAATGAAAATCATAAAGGATTTTAAAAAATATATAAAAATGAGGAATATCGCACTTCTGACAATCGCTGCGAGTGTGTGGGCTAAATTTGGAGAATCCGTGCTTCTCGCGTGGACAACTGTATGTGGCCGGCTCACGCGTCGAAAAATCTTCCGATTTATTCGTGTACGCACCAGACGGAGAAACAAAAAATATCGTGTATCCACGAGCACTCCAATAAATAAATAGAATTGAAACAACACTTTGAAATGTTATCCCGATAAAAACGAATAATAATAATAAGTTTCAATAAAAATGATAAAATGAAAATTTAATTTTATCATTACGAGTTTGCTTGAATTTCGTTTCTTCTGAGATCGCAGCAATGCGCGACGGGTAAGCTAGTAAAAAATATAAATTATTGTACAAAAATTATCTAATTAACTGTGTTTTTTAGACAGGGTTGGCAGTTTGCATAGGTAGAATTTTTTGTGTCATATATGAGACATTTCATTTAAAAAAAAAATTGAAAGTAAAACATCTTAAAAAATGAATATTTATCAACAAATAACACCTAGAGGTTAAGAACTAAACAAAAATAAATTAAAATAGTAGATTTTTCTCATAGTAGATGAAGAAGACAATAAACGGTTGATAGCTTTAAACAGAGGATAAGATATTTTCATTATTGAACTAAATGTTTTAGAATGAATTACAGTATGCTGTATCAATATTCACAATTTATGCTTATGCATAACTGTATACTGAAGACAATACTCCACATTTACATATATTACGTTTCTTTTGAACAACTGTTTTAAAATCAACGTATCACAACATTAATCTAGAGAATTCATAACAATCATGTTCATCTTCAAAGGTATGATTCAATTAAAGATATACAGTACCCGTTTTGTTTAAATACAGTACCCATTTTTGTCATAGTCATGCAGCTTAGTATGTAAAAGATGAAACGTATGTTACAGATAAAAGAAAATTCCGAAGAAATCAATTTAATTTGAATATTCTAAGAATTTCTATTGTTTGTTCTCAAGTGTAATTATAACAGTTGATAAAAATATACAATGATTAATTATAATAATAAAGCTATATTTTTTATTAATTATGTATAAATGTGTTGAAACTGACTGATTTCGATAACGATAGCCGATTGGTAATATTATCCGCAATTACAATAACCGGATTGCACTGTATTTCGACAATGCTTGAAATGTTTCAAATACACAATAAATCAAGTTTAGCTGTTCTAACTTTATACCGGTATTTCACAAGGAATGTAGAAAAATTTACAAAGATTGTAAATATAATTCACCGAATCGCTAAAATTGTAAATAAACATACGATAACTATAATTACAAACTTAGAAAATTACGAATTCTTAAATTAATAAATAATAGAACTTTACATTTCAACGACGAAAGAAAATCAGCGACGATGTCACCATTGAAAAGTTTAATGATTTTTTCCGATTATTGTTATGTTTTTTTCTGACAATATTAGGTGCAATAACCGAGATTTCCCTATACTTCTTTACTTCGTAAGATAAAATTTTCATAAAACTTACCTAATATCAAGGGAATAATCATAACGTTACCAGTAGAATATTCAACTTCGCTGTAAATCAGTAGTCCAAATGCTGAAACAGACGCTAAGAAAGGTGACACGCAACCGGCGATACCCAACCATGGCTTACTGCGCAGAGCATCAGTCGATAAGCAAGAAACTGCCGAAAATATCAGCATGATTGGAGCAGCAATTACCATTAGAAACAAAATACTTTCTCCATTTCGGTTAATTTCGTCATTGACAGACTGACTAACGAACTTGTAAATTTCGATATTATTCATATGAATTTTTGACAGTGTTTCTAGAAAAGTTTTTTCCCACATTAGTGCCATTTCTTTCGTTTCTTCTGTGGCATGGTCCAGTGGATAATACAGTCTAATTGCCTTGGAACCTCGAATCACATTTTCCTCGTCTACTGTGACACCTCCGAATTCGAAACCGGAAATTACTAATTTGCCATCAATTTTATCAGCTGGATATCTGCAAATAAATAGATCGAGCTCATTGTAACTTTATGTAAATATGAGTTAGGTTCATATATTCATAAAAATCTACTACACGAGATTAGAAAAAACATGCTTTAAAAATTTACATGGCTTAAACCTTCTGTTATAAATAATAGTCAATATTTTCTCAAATTAAGTAGCCAGTACTTTTCGTTAGGAACAAACAAAATATAAATATATAACCAAATATTCACCTCTGTTCATTCCGTTTATGTCGATACGGGAAAGTCGAGTGACAACAGTTATCGAGTTTGCAGTAAATTACAAGATTATCTTTCGTTCAATGGACTATAATTATATCTTTGGGAATCTTTAATCTGATTATCCTATACGTGTACATTATGTAACAACAGCACAACGACTAAATTATATTAGTTTTTTCTACAAATAATTGTATTGTGTCTGACAATGATCTTTTGCTACTTTATTTCAAAAGCGTAGTTTGTTAGTGGATCCTTTTTTATATCCAGAATAAATCCAGAATAATCATTATAAAATATTTATAATAATTATTCTAGATTTCACATATTCACATATATCTGAAATATATATGAAAATTCATATATGCGCTGAAAATCAAATAAATATATATTTTTTAACAATATATTTCTGTAGTATTTATTTAATTTTATTATTAATACAAATTTATTCCTACTAACTACTAATTTCCAATATTCTGAAAGTATTTTTAATCTACAAAAAGTTATAAATTTTTAAAAAGGTGTATTTTCTTACCTGACTTTTTTATATATTTAATATACTGTAAGTAATTAAAATGAAATTGTATAGCTATATTACGTTCATTTTAAAAATTTACTTATAGACAAATGTTATTCTCTTTCACATAAGAATCAATATAAAAGTTATTATTATATTAATAATATAAAAGTAAATCTTACTTGATCTTGTACATTCCTTTTTTTATGTCATTCGTTTTTCCTTTCAATGACAAAACAAAATTCTCGTGGCAAGTGTTTCCGTCTGCCTTACAACACAAATCTTCGTAACGAACGAATGCGTTATTCCACAGAAAACTGACATTTTTAATGATTTCGTCAAGTTTGATGACTTCCTCAATTATCGATTCTTCTAATATGGAAGTTTCATAATTTGACGTTATCTGTATTACTGCCATTCCTTCCGCTCTAGATAATCTTCTGTAATCACATTGTGACGTGTTTATGGAAAACATCGATTCGATTGCTGCTCTATCTACTTTACTTCTTGCATCGCTTGGTGTATAAAGATATTCTGCATCCTTTGTAGGTGATACACGTAATATTCCTGTTGCTAACACCAGGGAAAATATGAAGAGAATTGCTATGTGTATTTGGGGATAGCATCCTACATTGTAACCAATGCGAAATAATATAGCAGAAACTACTCTTCTAACCACGTCAAGCTTCATTTTTTTACTTTAAGAGTCAAAACGGTAAAAATACTATTAAATATATGTAATACAACACATGATATTGGGGTCTATGTCTCAATCACATCTTAAAAATATGTGTACTTACGTACTGCAAAACCAGCGATTTATATAATACTCGCATTACTGCTGAATGTGTCTAGTTATATTGGTTATAATGTAGAACGTTTGATTAAAATTTACCACAAGATAAGCGTCACTTCCAAGGAACAAAGTGCAAATAACACGATAAGAACTTTAAAGGTTCGGGTCATCAATGACGTATGTTATCAATAAGAATATACTTTAAAAGTGTAATGATATTAATCTATATTTCATTTTAATTATAAGTAACAGCTGTATTTAATATTGATCTAAATATTTTTCATCGTTTTCTTAACCTCTTATAAATGTAAAAATGATAAAACGTTATTATAATCAACAGTTTCATGGACATACGTAATTTTTCACGTTAATTTTTAAGAAAAATTATTTTAAAATTGAGAGTAGATTCAAATTAACAAGTTTGAAAACAAAAATGAAATTTTTTTGTTTTCAAACTTGTTAATTTGAATCTACACTCANAACCGTACAAATAATTGCTAAATAGTTATGTCTAACTGTTAATTTTTTAAAAATAATAGATTCGTTATAAAAATGAATTTTGCTGAACTTTTCCATTTAGTTTATCTAAAAAATGACGTATATCTGCAAATAAGTGAAATAATAAATTTTTGCCGACTTTCAGTAAATTATTCGTATTTCAGAAATAAGTTATATAGTACCTTGTAAAAACGAAATTCTTATATTTTTAAATTATTATTGGAAATTAACTGTTTTCGATTCATTTTTAAATATCCTGTTATTCAAGGTACGGTCTAAAAATATCATTATATATACCTTTTGTTTTCAAAGCTGCTAATTTGAAATATCCTTTTTGCTCTGTTTTTGAGTGAAGAGATGGTATTAATACTGTTTATAAGAGACTGGTTCAATATCTCGCCGAGAACTTCTTTTGCAAGAACTTCTTATACAAGGGCGCCGTCTTCGGAAACTAAGTATTTTTATTTAAAAGTTTGAATTAGACATAACTCTAGATAAAAGCAAATCTTTCGAAAATCCACAAGTTTAACATCAATTCATGAAGGTGATAAAATTTTAAACTACAGTAGAGCGTCGTTTATCCGAATCAATTGGGGACTGAGGTTGTTCGAATAACTTATTTTTCGGATAACCGATTATGTATGAAAAATATATTAACCTATCCCATGTTGAAATTTTTCTCCGTTACGTGTCCCTTCGCGTTAAATTTTCGTTGAATTTTGTTAAGCCTAACGTGTACTTTTTAAAATAATAATCGTGGCTATTGTATTGTTAAAAATTATTTCTTTATCTAAATATATAAAATTGCTTGTCCTGACTGACTCATTCACTGATTCATCATCGCCCAGAGCAAACCGCTGGACCTAGAGAGGTGAAATTTGGTACACAGTTAGGGTACGTCATGAAAACGCACACTAAGAAGGGATTTTTCGAAACTCTCAGGTGGGGGGAGAGGGAGAGCATTAAGTCTTAACCGTAAGAACGGCTTCTACTGTACTATTTTAGATGCGATTTTTTGTTTTCAACTACGTTTAGTCTTCATTGAGTACTTAGGTGTATTAAATTGATAACATTTCAGACATTGTTATAAATATTTTTATCTATTTCGATTTTAATTAAAAATGTTCGATCCGTTTTAAATTCAAATTTGTTATTGCATATTGGTTCGATTGTAGAACGATTGTAAACGTTCCAGAAACGTTGAAAATAGTTCGTTTGACTGGACGTGAACAGGAGACGTTCAGAAATAGAATCGAGACCAGGGGCCGTATTCTGGTCACTGTCTCTGGTCTCTCGTCTCTCGCAAGCCGGTCGCTGATTGGCTAATCATTTGGATTAGCCAATCAGCGACTGGCTTGCGAGAGACGAGAGATCAGAGACAGTGACCAGAATATGGCCCCAGGTCTCTAATTAGACTGGAAACGGGGGACTTAATTCTTGCATTCTGTGAAAACGGGTAAGATTGGCTATAATGTAATTATCTTAATCTTCACTATCGTTTCTTTTTGCCCACAAATAAAAACCCAGCGAAGCGGTCCCTTGCAGCTAGATTCTAGATTACTTAGAAAAACAGTCTTTTATATATAAAAACAACTATATTACATATTAAATGTACGAACAAATAAAAACCCAGCGAAGCGGGTCCTTGCAGCTAGTATAAAACCCGATTTTTCACCCTGATTCATTTTTTATCGGGAATAATACATATTAAGTATAAATGTAAGTGTTTATAGATATTTTGAAATTAATAATCTATGTTATATTTTTTATATAAATGATGTGTTATACAGCCAAGCCCTTTACTTTTTTCATATTATAGAAAGTAGTCATAAAACTATATAATAAAAATATTGTCACACAAGTCTATGCTGTACCATTATATAACATGTAAGTTTTTTTATGTTATTGTCACCCCTAGTTTTTGTTACGTCCTACTTACCAATGTCGTGGAACTCGCCTTGTTTTTTGTAATTTTATCAGCACTGAAGAGGGGTTGGGAATACAAGCCAACCCGAAATGCATCTGAATTAAAAAAGTGTTTTAAATAAACCGTAACGTTTTCTAACTAATTGCTGTTTGATCGTCTACCAAAATTATTGTTTGGATTGCAAAGACGCTACACACAGAAAAACATAATATTTCAGTTTCTCCTACGAGTAATAATAGTAATGGTCCCCACATACTCCATAACAGCGGTCGGCAACCGGTGGTTTGTAGAACATTGAACCTCCGCGAGAAAATGGGGTGGTCTGTGGAGAAATTTAGACATTGATCAACTGAAGGTTACGCGAAGTATTACGAAATAAATGCAAAATAGTTGTTTTTTTCACTTATTGGGGTTTTTTTCGAATCTATAACCAAATACGAAGTGACTGTTATCAATACATAATGAACAATAAAGATTATTGTGAGTGCGATTGTCGTCCTTCGTGGAAAAGCACTTAGAATTGATAAATTTATTTCAAACAAGCAGCAACGAACTTTAGGCTTTCATTAATTTGTTATAATTAAACGAGCGAGTTTCATATTAATACAGTAAAATTGATGTTTTATAATCATTACAGACGTGATGTCGGACGTCGAGCTCCTCCGTCTGGCATTTCTAGTAGTTTGATAACGACGTTCGCTACGTCTAGAATGGCGAGTAGAAGTTCGGCTTAAACTTCTTCATTTTTTGGGTCTGGGGTTAAAATTATGACTTGTTTTATTAAAATAATAATTAATTAAGTATTTGTGAATAATATTGTAAAGAAACAGACTATTTTCATCCAGAAATTATTTAATTATTCAATTTTATTGCAAATGATGAGAAGTGCCTATAGAATTTACATATTTTTGTGTTCATAATAGCTTATCATAATTCTGTTGGAGTAGGTTCTTCCACGACATCTTCTACCATCAACAGCGTAATACGTTTGTAGATTTTCTAAAAATAATTTCCCGATCTGCTTTCGGATTTCTATAAGACACTACTTTCCTCAACGAAAGTATTAGGTAGTACTATCGTACGGTAAGATACACGACGCTAATTAAAAATAATAATTTAGTGTAATTAAACATTTTATAAATACTTTAAAATAATTTAATGTGTTTATTTACCTTCGCTAGTAATATTCGTGATTATTAAACATTTCCGCCATTTTTCGACAATATCCCATGAGTTCAAACATCAAACGTCTACTTCCACTTGCTGTACAAGTTTAACGTTTGAACTTCGGCCGCAGCTTCTCTATTATACTAAATAGACGCCAAAAACACACATACACACATATTTCGAGTAGCAGATATTTTTGTTTTTTTTGAGTTTACAGGTATTAAACAATTCCAAAAACACGAATAGCCAAATGTGACAGGATTACAATATCACAAAGTATATTCTGTAAAATAAAACTGAGCTCTCATAGAAGAAAATTCAAATACAAAATGTCGACATTTTTGCATCTAAATAATAGAAAACATTTCGTTTAAAATCATGTAAAAATTTCCATCGACATACATGTAGGATCTATGTGGACACCAAGGCATCAACAGGAGCACACGTGTGAGCTCCTGAAATTTCTTTGTCACACTAACACATCCCATTACCATGTGAGATAATTGTCACTACGGATCCTGCTGTAGAAGCATGCAAATTACATACAGAGAAAATACTTGCGAACTACACCAGATCAGATGAGTATGTATTACTTATTAAAGCGTCAGAGAATAAATTGGCTTGTGTTTCTTTTTCAACACCCTTAGAATCACTATAAACTAAAAATTTTTAATTCAACTTTTGAAACATAATGTAAATAAAAACACAAATATTTTAATTTTAATTCAATGTATATAAGGTTTTGTTATTTCAGTTTATTTTTTATATTGCTTTTTTACTACATTAAAAGACTATGAGAACGAATAAAAAACAAGCAGTGTTACCGCAGCTGTAAGTAAAATACTTTTGTAAAATCAACACTGATGTTTTATTCAATATGCAAATAACATGAGATTACATCAAAGTTTTAAGAATTACATAAAACAAATATCACATGATCATGTTTCAGATTTATTTTATATAAACTGCTTTAATTCAAATTCAATTATTAACATTCGTGTTTCTAAATTGTGTTTTCAGAATTTAAAGAATCGAGTTCGTTCGAAACAATTTCATTACATTCAAACTTATGTTTTTTCTTTTTAAATATTGAAAACGAAAGAGAATCCAAAAGGCTGAGAACTACGGGCAATAAAAAAAGACTGTGAAATAAAGCGAAAATTACCATTAAAGATATGATTTTAAAAAATATTACAAATGATTCCGATGGTCCAAAATACGCTACCGAAACACCTAAAACAGTAGTTACGCATCCCTGTAAGACAGGATATCCAGCAGCGTATAAGCAATTTCGGATTTTCTCATTTGGAGTTTTATTTTTGTAATTGAGAAACGCGTAAGTCGTATGTACTGCATAATCTACGCAAAATCCCGTACACATCACTAATGTTATTAGTGAGGTTGGATTCACAGTAACATTCCATAAAGACATGTATCCAATCAAGCCAACCTGAATAGAAACAATAGTCATGACAACAGACAAAAGAAACAATATGTTCGGAGTAAATAAAAGAAAAACGATAATTACTGTTCCCCCTGCAGCACTAATCGATTTTACGCAGTTTGAAAAAATATTAACATAGACGTCATAATACAAAAATCTAAAATTATATACAATGACAGGAATTTTGCTGTTGTCGGCAATTCTTCTTACATTTTCAAGAAAAGATCTTTTATCAATTCCACGTCTTAGATCAGAACTGGATATTAGAAATCTCGAAGCAGTAATTTTATCGCCTTCTTTATTAAAAATAACATCGTTTTTAAATCTGCCTGCAACGTTTACTTTCAAGAAAACATTTTTAAATGCACTCAAAAAGTCATCAGAATCACTGAGATTGTAACCAGAAAGCGAAAACTTTGCAACTGGAGATTTAGTAAATGCCAGAAATTCTCTCAGCCAACTTTCTGTGGTCGACGAATCGGATATAAATGAAGCAGATTCGAAACTTTGTAGAAGATCTTCTATGTTATTTTGGTTAGTGACATTCGAATAATCTAATGACTGATTAATAATTATTTGAACTTGATGACTATAATTAGAAAAATACTTATTTTCAATATATGCATATGTAAACATATAAGAAAAGTTTGGAAAAAATATAACAACATCGTTTTCTTCTTGAGTGAATTGCATACAATATATTGCACCTATAAGATAAACCATAAACAGAAGAATTACGATAGTTTTAACGATTGGTTTTCCCAGCATTTTGCCAAGAACATTGCCAAAAAATTCCATAAAGATATTTTGTTCTTCCTTGTTTGTCGATTCGAATTGTTTTTTGTTTTCAATTTTTTGGTGATTTCGGTTAATCGGCCAGCAAAAAACAGAATGAAGATCACACTTTTCTCTGTATCCGTCTAAAGCCATGAGGCCACCAAAAAACAATAACTGATAAATGTAGTCAAACAGGATTGCAAGAGCTGCATACGCACTGAATATATGAATGACTTTGTAAGGTGTCAGAAATCCCATACAAAAGGCAAAAAAATTGGTCAGAGACGTAATAGTGATAGAGACAGCAGCTTCTGTGTACGCTTCTTTTATTCTATCTGGAACAGAAGCGTCAACGTCAGTTCTTCTCCACGCAGCTATCAATATAAAGGCATCGTCTACTCCAATTCCTGAAATATGCATCTAGAATTAATTATATGTTTTAATGACGTTATTTTAATATGTGCAAATTTGCAACAGCTTATTTATGATAGTTAATTTAAAGTTCTAATCGTCATTGTTTATGTAATAGAATACTTAATTATTTTAAGAAACAAATAACTCGTATAACGAAAGGAGACATATCATTTGAGTATTTCGATTGTCCTATGCAATAATTAAATGCAATATGACTGTAATGTGGATAATCGATTTTTGGCAATCTGTGATTTAGATTCAATGCAGCGGTCAGCATACATGCTAATTTGTATATGTCGTGTGTCTGATGTTATGATAATTATCAGCGTGTTGGAGTTGACAATGACAATAGGATTAACTTTATAGGCCAGTTCGAAATCCTTCCATTTAGTTAAAAGTACAAAGGTGATTTGAATTTTAAAAAAATAATAAAATATTGATAATACAGAAATGAAAAGATTTTTATACGATTCTTGAAACTTAACCACAGTTTGAAGATTTAGTGAAATCTGGTTAATATAATCACATTGATACTTGAAGATAACAATAACCTGTTGGTAGCAGTAAACAGAGAATAAGATATTAATATTTTCGTTAATGAACTAAATTTATAGAAATAATTACAGTATATTTATTATGGAAAACTGTACTTAACATTACACACTTACTTATATTACATTTCTTATGAATTACTGTTTTAAACTCAACCTATCACAAAATTAAAGTAGAGAAATCGCAACAAACATGTTTATCTCGAGAGGTATGTTTCAATTAAAGATCTACAGTAACGGTATTGTTTAAACATTATTTTCATATTCAGATAGCTTTTTAGGTAAAAAAATAAAATGTATATTACAGAAAAAAAATTTCGAAGAATCGATTCAATATGAATTTTCAATTTTGATAACAATAATCGATCGATATTGTTATTCGTGATTGTAATAACCGGATTAAACTGTATTTTGACAAAGTTCGCAATGCTAACGAAAGTTTATTAAACTAGGATAACCTTAATAAACTTTTTTTTATCTGTGATTTTTTTCAGTTATTATACAAAAAAGCTAAAGCAACGAGTTGTGGTAAGATTCCCCGCAGAAAATTTAAAATTGTGGTTGAGCCATTTGTTATTATGTTTATTTTTAAATCTTTTTATATTTATTAATTATTATAAAATGGCTTAAGACCAGTGTTTATGATAATAATCTTATTAATCAGAACTTATCAAACAACTTATTGTAAAACTTATGAATTTTGATATATGCTGTAAACTATTACAATTTTACTACTATAAACTCCAAATACGCAATAAATCGAGTCTAGATGTTTCAAGTTCATTATACAAAAGACGTTGAAATATTCACAAAAATTCTAAATATCATTTCAACATAACTACGCTAATAATAACTTCAAAATTAAAAAAATTACGAATTTTTAACAAATTATGGAACTTCCAACATCTCAACGACAAAATAACTTCAGCAATGAAGTTAGCATTGACAAGATGAACGATTATTTATGACTATTGCTTTGTATTTCGTGACAACGTATAAACAAATAAATCAGGTTTTTCTATATATATTTACTTCGTTATAAAAGATTTTCAAAAGACTTACCTAACATCAGGAAAATAATCATAACGTTTAATGGGACATATTCCATTTTGCAGTAAATTAGTAGTCCAAATGCTGCAACAGTGGCTAAGAATGGTGATACACAGCTAGCAATACCCAACCAGGGCTTACTACGCAGTGCTTCAGTTGATAAGCAAGAAACTGCAGAGAATATCAACATTATTGGAGCCGCAATAATAATGAGAGAAAAAATATTTTCGCCATTTCGGTTAACTTCATTATTGACAGACTGACCAATGAACTTATAAATTTCGATATTATTCATGTGAATTGTTGATGTTGATTCTAGAAAAGTTTTTTCCCACATTAGTGCCATTTCTTTAGTTTCTTCTGTAGCACGGTCCAGTGGATAAAACAGTCTAATTGCCTTAGAATCTCGAATCATATTTTTCTCGTCTACTGTGACACCTCCGAATTCGATACCGGAAATTACTAATTTGCCATCAATTCTATCAGCTGGATATCTGCAAATAGATAGAACCAGTTCATTGTAACTATATGTAAATATGAATTATATTATTTCTTTTTAAAAACCATAAAAATTAGAAATGTACATAACTTTTAATATAATTGTTCTAAATGCATCACGATGCGGTTACATTTTTAAAAGTAGGTAATGTTTACATTTTAAATGTACAGTAATAAAGTAAATTTAAAATTATGCCATTTAACATAATATTTAGAAATTAAAATTAATTTAAGTGATATCACTGAGCTCAAATCAATAATAANTAAAATGGCTTAAGACCAGTGTTTATGATAATAATCTTATTAATCAGAACTTATCAAACAACTTATTGTAAAACTTATGAATTTTGATATATGCTGTAAACTATTACAATTTTACTACTATAAACTCCAAATACGCAATAAATCGAGTCTAGATGTTTCAAGTTCATTATACAAAAGACGTTGAAATATTCACAAAAATTCTAAATATCATTTCAACATAACTACGCTAATAATAACTTCAAAATTAAAAAAATTACGAATTTTTAACAAATTATGGAACTTCCAACATCTCAACGACAAAATAACTTCAGCAATGAAGTTAGCATTGACAAGATGAACGATTATTTATGACTATTGCTTTGTATTTCGTGACAACGTATAAACAAATAAATCAGGTTTTTCTATATATATTTACTTCGTTATAAAAGATTTTCAAAAGACTTACCTAACATCAGGAAAATAATCATAACGTTTAATGGGACATATTCCATTTTGCAGTAAATTAGTAGTCCAAATGCTGCAACAGTGGCTAAGAATGGTGATACACAGCTAGCAATACCCAACCAGGGCTTACTACGCAGTGCTTCAGTTGATAAGCAAGAAACTGCAGAGAATATCAACATTATTGGAGCCGCAATAATAATGAGAGAAAAAATATTTTCGCCATTTCGGTTAACTTCATTATTGACAGACTGACCAATGAACTTATAAATTTCGATATTATTCATGTGAATTGTTGATGTTGATTCTAGAAAAGTTTTTTCCCACATTAGTGCCATTTCTTTAGTTTCTTCTGTAGCACGGTCCAGTGGATAAAACAGTCTAATTGCCTTAGAATCTCGAATCATATTTTTCTCGTCTACTGTGACACCTCCGAATTCGATACCGGAAATTACTAATTTGCCATCAATTCTATCAGCTGGATATCTGCAAATAGATAGAACCAGTTCATTGTAACTATATGTAAATATGAATTATATTATTTCTTTTTAAAAACCATAAAAATTAGAAATGTACATAACTTTTAATATAATTGTTCTAAATGCATCACGATGCGGTTACATTTTTAAAAGTAGATAATGTTTACATTTTAAATGTACAGTAATAAAGTAAATTTAAAATTATGCCATTTAACATAATATTTAGAAATTAAAATTAATTTAAGTGATATCACTGAGCTCAAATCAATAATAAAAAAAAATTATAGTTAATAGTCAATATTTCCGTAAATTAAGAAGCCTGTAGTTTTTGTCAGAAACATAAAAATTTCACCAAAAATTTACCTGTGATTAAACTGTTTATGTCAATAAGTGACATAACAATTATCGAACTTGCAGTAAATTACAAGATCATCTTTCGTTCGATGGAATATGATTAAGGGCATCTTTATTCTCATTAGCCTACCCGTGTTAATTAGGTAGCGAGGTTTGAAAAACTCCCATATTATATTAGTTTTATAGACGAATAATTTTGTAATTTCTGATAATACAGAAAGCATAGTTTTTCAGTGGGATTTCTTCTAAAAATATTTATAATGGTTATTATATAGTACACTGAAAACTGCTTAGGCGACCAGCTGCATTCGACGGGCACCTGTCAAAACGGGTAAAAATTTCTTGCACCGAATAGTTTATCCATAGAGTCTTCGTATAAGTTACCCATATTAAACGACCACCCCGCGTAACGCGACCGCGGACATTCCGCATCGATTTTTGGTCCGGAACGATATACAACAACTGTAATAAGCGACCACTTCCGCGAATATATCTGGTCTAAACTATTGTTCAACATCGTTTTTCCCCTCCTAATGTAATGAATCAGTCTAAACTCTCGTTCGAACCCACCTCGGGCACAAACTGAAATGAATTTCCTTTGTTGCTAGACTAATTCATTAACGCCTGCACCTAATTTCAAGGGTGGGAGAGCACTTCTCCCACCCTTGAAATTAGGTGCAGGCGTTAATGAATTAGTCTAGCAACAAAGGAAATTCATTTCAGTTTGTTCGAAAATGTCCGAAAAACGAAAGAAATGCAAAATGTCGTTAGAAGATCGTATCAAAGTTATCACAACAGCAATTAGCGGCGAAGTTTAACTGTGGGAAAACGAAATTTATTTTATCGTAGACCTACAGTATTTTCCTTGGGGGTGTAAAATATTGTACACGACACAATTAATCGGTTGATCTCATCGCTTTATTTTTTTATTTATTTAGAAGCTCATATACAGTACAGTACATGTGCGATTAATAGTTTCTGTATCAACCTACCTTATTTCCACGATATTTTTAGAAAAATAATGTCCAAGTAATTTTCGCACGCAAAATATTAAAAAAACAATAAACTCATTAATGCAAAAATCGTAATAAAATCGTATAATGAGAAAAAAATAATAAAATCGTTTTATAATTAATTAATAATATTTCTTATTGTACTTAAAAAAATATTTTAAAAAATATAGTATTTTTAAAGTTAAAATAAGTGATGTAGAGATACGACGCGCTTGTAGGCCTATATCGATGACATAATATGTGTAACTGAGGAACGAACGAAAAAAAAAAAACCAAGTGGAATAAATTAAGTCGGAGAAAAAAAAAGTGTGCATTGTAATCGAGAAAATACGAGTATTGTATTAATCTTTAAAACATTGATAATAAATCTGTCTTATAAAATCACGACTACTCCTGTAAACGAGTTATCCGATANAATAAGTGTTATAATTAGAATTGACAGATTAACTTATACACTGGCTGAGCTAAAGTAACTGAGGAACGAACGAAAAAAAAAAAACCAAGTGGAATAAATTAAGTCGGAGAAAAAAAAAGTGTGCATTGTAATCGAGAAAATACGAGTATTGTATTAATCTTTAAAACATTGATAATAAATCTGTCTTATAAAATCACGACTACTCCTGTAAACGAGTTATCCGATAAGAATAAAATACAATACCAATATAGTTCTATCGTTGAAAAAGTTCGCTTATTTTTGCTCGCCTCGAGTTTTGCTTAGTAGAAATGGCTAAAAAGTGCGCAAAATACGTACGGAAATACGGTATTACAGCATCACCCGTATTGGACAACACCTGTCTAAAAGACAACTTTTTGAAGGAACCGTAAATGGTCGCCATAGACAGGTTTTACTGTATTCATTTAATTACTCGTATATTACTAATAAAAGTTTTTTCACTATTAATTACTGTTGTGTCGGGTGTTTTCCACGTGTGAAAACCTAACGACCGGCGTTCAATCTGGAACCGATCAGATTACACCTACGTGTGGGCGCGCGATTCGGCGATGTCTTTGGTTCGGGTCAGTCGAACGAGCAGGACGTGACCGGTGTTTAGTCCGACCGTTATAACAGTTTCTTTGTTATATAATTAACGGCGATCTACGATTAGAGATCTTAGTCCTTAAGAACTTTTACAATTACTAAGTTCGAATATTTTGTAAGAATATTTAATTTACAAAAAGTATTTTATTTCTTTAAAAACTTGAATTTTTCTTACCTGACTTTCTTATCCACATTATATACAGTTAATAAAATTTTATTATATATTTTAATATAAGTCATTAAAATGAAATTGTATAGCTATATTACATTAATTTAAAAAATTTACTTATAGACAAATGTAATTGTCTTTCACATAAGAATCGATTTAAAAGTTGTTATTATATTAATAATATAAGAATAAATCTTACTTGATCTTGTACATTCCTTTTTTTATGTCTTTCGTCTTTCCTTTCAATGACAAAACAAAATTCTCGTGGCAAGTGCTTCCGTCTGCCTTACAACACAAATCTTCGTAACGAAGGAATGCGTTATTCCATAGAAAACTGACATTTCTAATGATTTCGTCAAGTTTGATGACCTCTTCAATTATTGATTCTTCTAATATGGAAGTTTCATATTTTGACGTTATCTGTATTACTGCCATTCCTTCCGCTCTAGATAATCTTCTGTAATCACATTGTGACGTGTTTATGGGAAACATCGATTCGATTGCTGCTCTATCTACTTTACTTCTTGCNCCTCTTCAATTATTGATTCTTCTAATATGGAAGTTTCATATTTTGACGTTATCTGTATTACTGCCATTCCTTCCGCTCTAGATAATCTTCTGTAATCACATTGTGACGTGTTTATGGGAAACATCGATTCGATTGCTGCTCTATCTACTTTACTTCTTGCATCGGTTGGTGCATAAAGATATTCTGCATCCATTGTAGGTGATACACGTAATATTCCTGTTACTAACACCAGGGAAAATATAAAAAGAATTGCGACGTGTATTTGTGGATAGCATCCTACATTGTAACCAATGCGAGATAATGTAGCAGAAACTACTCTTCTAACCACGTCAAGCTTCATTCTTTTACATAAACAATCAAAGCGGAAGGGAATACTCTGTGAGATATTTAATACAACACGTTGTATTTAAGTCTGTATTAGTAACATCGAATGTTTTAATACGATTCTTATTATAATGGGTAATTGTGTAGACGAAATATCATAAGTCCGCTGGATCCTCTATCTGCCTATTATCAATAACATTCATTATTATAAAAATGTATTTTATTAATGTATAATCATATACTTATTTGCTACTTATTTAAAAGTACTTCTAAAATTTAGTAATTTTAAATTATTCAATATCAACTGAAGCAAAAGATAGCATATTAATTATACAAATCAACCGAACAATCTTAAATGTATAGGTATGTGTACTTACGTGCTGCAAAGCCAGCGACTTATATAATACTTCCATTACTGCTGAATATGTCTGGTTATGTTTGTTAAAAGGTAAAATGTTCGATTAAAATATGTCATAAGATAAACGTCACTTCCAAGTGACAAAGTACAAATAATACGATAAGAATTTTAAAGGTCCAGGTTATCAATCACGCATGTTATCATTAGGAAGATACTTTGAAAGTGTAATAAATGTAATCGATGTCGAAGTATATTTAATTTTAAATATAAGTTACAACTCTGTTTAATATTAATTTAAATATTTTTCATCGTTTGCTTAACTTCTTATAGATGTAAAAATGATAAAACGCGTTTATTATACAGTTTTTCATAGGTACGCGCGGTGATTGTTGGAAAACGTGTCAGGCAAATGATTAGGAACAATTGTATACTGTGTTGTCTATATCAGTGTTTCTCAACCTCTAACGAATCGTCGCCCCCTTCAACGTAGGATCGCACCCTTAATTCAACTGATAATTTTTATACGTGAAAAAATGACAATAAGTGTTATAATTAGAATTGACAGATTAACTTATACACGGGTTGAGATGATAACGTGTTTTTCACGTTCATATTAAAGTAAAATTACTTATAACTTAAGATATTTCGTTAATAAATTATTTTTACTTTATGTTTCTCTCTGTATCTGTCTATAGCCACGAGGCCACCGAAAAATAATAATTGGTAAACATAGGCGAAAATGATTGCTAGAGCCGCATACGCGCTGAATATATGAATACTTTAGAAGGGGGTTACAAATCCCATACAAAAGGCAAAACAATTGGTCAGAAACGTGATAGTGATAGAGACAGCAGCTTCTGTGTATGCTCCTTTTATTCTATCTGGAACAGAAGCGTTAACGTCAGTTCTTCTCCACGCAGCTATCAATATAAATGCATCGTCTATTCTAATTCCTCAAATATTCAGAAAAGTAAATGATGTGTTGTATGAAGCTATTCTAATATACATAAATTTCAACAATATATTTTCGAAAGTTAATCTCTTATTATACAATAGCCAGTTTATGCAATGATATTTTCCATTATGCTTACAAATGTACTTATATTGTACTTTAATTAATTTTTAATAGTGTATAAGGTGAATACACAAGCATAACATAAGACTATATTTCCGTTTTGCTTCATAATAAATACAATTGTAATACCGAATAATTCATTAGTAGTGTTCGTTAATTTGCATACCGTGAATCTACTGTTCTTTTTAATGTAAACAACTTGTATATCGGGTCCTGTATATGAAAACGAAGTAATTCTTCGATATAAAATTTATGCTACCTACTTTGGTGTAACGAATCTTGGAGTAGAAACTTTCAGGGGAGGCAGAAAACAGAAATAAACCGTATTTATATAAGAATTGTGATCGGAAACGCCATTCTGATGTATTAGACGACACAGTAATGTAAAGTAATGACAAGACAATAAATTGTGAAGATGATCTCTAATGAAAATGAAAACATGTTAAGATGGCTTTCCTACCTCTATGGATATGGTTTATTTTATGTTCTCTGTCCTCCGAAAAAGTTGTCACTTAAGATTTGAATCCCTCTATGTAATGTTCAGTTCTCCGAACACAGATCTATTGTTTAGCATGTAACTCTGTTATTCAACTTTCTGAAAATCAAATTTTGTAGGCTACACACTTTTCGAAACTAACTACATTCGAAATTTGGGAACTGTCTGTACATATACTTCATAAAGCTAATTATAGCCTATATTTTTGAAGTTTGCTATCGTTACTGTAAAAATTGATATTAATAAACTGTGTTGCACTTTTACATGTAAACATGTATTGTATATTTAATTTATTTCTGTTATTTGTTTTTAAATAATTATTTTAAAACTTACATAGTCATAACACAAAATCAATGTTATAAATCACCATTTTATAATTTCAAATCGCCATCTTTAATGAGTAATTTATTGAAATATTCTTTCAATTAAATACTTATTTCACTTACTGCTTTAACATTACATTAAAAATATATAAAATTTTTGTAGTTAGAAGTGTATTGATCCGCTTGGAGTAGGTTCGGTTTCATTCACACGCAATCAGCACTCATTTGAATTCTATCGGTCTAGTGTATTTTCATACACTAGACCGATAGAATATATGATATTTCATACACTAGCATGCACTCGAGTTCTATGCGTCTAGTGCATCCTCCTCTAACTAGCACTCCTCCAAGATCTACAGATTGTATTAATAGAAATAAGAAAATGTCTTTAAACAACTGAACCCACCAGTTTAACCGATACCAGTCGAATATAGTATTCAATACCTGCCAAAAAAATAGTAAAAACGTTGTTTCATTTTTACTGGCATTTTAACGCTTACGTACTTATTGTATTTTTGATATCGAAATAATCAAGTATACGATCTAAATTCATTAAAATATGTACTTCATTTAGTAACACAGACAGTGTACAAACATCAGACTGGTGACAATAAATATAAAATTCAAGTTAATGTAGTGCGAAAATATATTCATTGTATCTAAATTAGTGTGAGATAAACAGAAAGGTGCAATATGTAAAGATTATTCATGAAATTAATAAATCAGTGGTTCTTCCATACAAAGAAAACGTATAGCTCGATGTCATCGACTCTTGGAATTTGTAATCGAACACATATGCTTTTGAATTATCAGTCGTTCTACTATGAAGAATTAACTTATAAGGAAACGTTTCCTTCTGCAAAACCTAAAAATTAAAAAAATTTATGTGAGTTTTATATACTTTTCCCTACATATGAAAATTGGTTATTTCTAGATGCTCGTATTCTAATTGATCCGAGATAGTAAACGTTAAAGTTTGAACACTGCCGGAATAGTTAATCTTAATATGTGTTATGTACACTTAACAGCTGGAAAAATAAAGTTTCTTAATTTTGTACATTGCTTTATTGATATATTTTCTCTTTCTTTTCAATAATACAGTCTAAAATTCCCATCTGTTTTGTAACACAAATCATCGTATTGAACAGAAGTACTATTGAAAACGACAGTGACATTTTGCATGATTTCGTGAAATTTAACTAGTGTTATATTTACTGATTCTTCTAATATGGAGGTTTAATTTTATCATCTTATCTGTAGTGTCCAATTCGTTCGAATCTAGATAATCTTCTGTAATCACATTGTTAACTGTTTGTGGAAAATATTACAGCTCTATCTGCTTGCTTCTTGCATCGATCGGATGGAGTAAAAATATATTCTGTATCTTTCGGAGGTGATAAATTTACTATTCCCGTTGCAAACACTAATAAAAATACAATGGGAATTGCTCCGTATTATATGTGCATAACACTTTACTTTGTAACTAATGCGAAATAAGAGGACAATTACGATTCTTCTGAAAAAATTCTTGTTCATTTTTCCACGGGAAATAAAGAAAACTGTGGTAAACACAATATAATATACAGATTACTGTGCCGTAAAAAAGATTTAAGTAAAGTTTTATTAAAGTTTTACACGTAATATTTCAGTTTCTTCTACAAATAATAATGGTAATGGTCCCCACATACTCCAGAACAGCGGTCGGCAACCGGTGGTCCGTAGACCATTGAACCTCCGCGAAAAAATTGGGGTGTAATACGTTTGTAGATTTTCTAAAAATAATTTCCCGATTTGCTTTCGGATTTACATAAGCCACTACTTTCCTCAACAAAAGTATGAGGTAGTCCTATCGTACGGTAAAATACACGACGCTAATTAAAATACTGTATAACTATTACATTCAAAGGAGTTTAAATACTTACAGTTTCATTGATTGTTCAATAATTTACACAAGAATTCTATACTTTTAATTTGAAAAATGATAATACAAATTTGATTGAACATATTTACAGATATATCTATTACGGAACTGGATACATGAAATTTCTGTAAATTTGAAAAGTGTTGTATCTTAACACACTGATTCTGAACTGACATTCAAAAGCACAGTCTTGTCCATTGACAGAAAGAACTGTCAATCCTAATTAAGGCATTAAAAATTTTTTTCTGATAAGTGTAATCTATGGAAAATATTGTAACAAAGTATACATTTTCTGTTATTTATTATCTGTGCACGTATATGTAAATTTAAACACTAATCACACTATTAAAGTTATCAATTGTATATGATTTGGTTTAGAGGTTCATAAATATCAAGTATGAAGTTAAAATTCGTTCAAAACAAATAATAATAATGATAATCTTAAATAATTTATTAAGTAAAAGTA